TCAAGGCCTTTGGCAGGGAGGCCTTAGGGCCACCCAGCTTTCTTTATGGTGTCTCAGAAGTTCAATGCAGGGCCAGCAGGTGGTGTGGTGATGAAGGCTCTAGACTCCCACATAGCCAACCATGGTTCAAGTCCTGAACCTGGCACCCTGAAAGTCATGTTGGGTATGTCTGTGCACATCAAATCTCAGGAGAAAGGAGGAGAAGGTGTTGCTGTGAGGCCATCCCCCTGGGATGATTTTTCACTTTCCCTTTTGGCAAAAACCTAAAAAAACAGGGAACCAGCAGTTAGCGTAATGGCTATGTCGCTGGACTCCCACATAGTCGACTGTGGTTCACGTCCCGGACCCGGTGGCTTAAAACTCACGCCGGGCGCGTGTGCATGTGTGCCCAAGATCCCAAGAGGAGAATGGAGGAGAAGGGATTGTGGCGTGGCCATCCCCCCGGGGGATGATTTCTCGCTTTCTGTCTCTATATCTCTCTCTGTCTGTCTGGTGAGTGCACGCGCCCTATAGCGAAAATCTCTCCAATAAAACAAAAGCAAAGTTCAGTGCAAACTTAGGGTCAGACTGTCAGAACCGTGCCCTCCCTGGGCACGCCCCAGCTGGCTGGGTAATCTGCAGGGCTGCCTCGTTGTACCCACGGAGGCCTGCTCTGCGGCGGGAGAGCGCGGGCCCACAGGGAGCTGCATCATCTGGGTCCCTGACATGCTCCGGAGCTGCCCTGAGCTGCGGGCTATCCCCTCCGTGAAGGGCAGAGTGCGGCAGCTGGCCTGGCTGTGGGCTGCAGGCTGCGGGGGTGGCCTGCCTAATGGGGACTCTGAAAAGGGCGCTGCCCTCCCCACCGCATGCCTAATGGTGTGCGTTTGCAGGCCCAGAGCCTCTTACTAGGTCTGTAACATTAATCCTGCGAAATAATTTTCCTTAATTGAATTCATCCCGCCTCCTTCCCCCTTGCCAGTGGCAAGCCTACAGCCAGGTGCCACGTGCTTCCGGTTTGCTGCGCCCTCGCCTCGGCCGCAACAGGGCAGACCCCGGCAGGACCTCCAGGTCCCAGAGCTGTGGCGGGGCTGGGCTCTTGGGGAAGGGCTCCCTCCCGCCAGCCAGCCTGTGTTGGGGCGCACTCCGTAGTTACACCAGCTGGAGCGCGGTGAGGCAGGCACTCAGTTTCCAGCGCTGGGAGCCGTCCTGCCGGGGCCCAGCGTGGGGTCCTGCCTGCAGCAGCCTGCGCAAGTGTCATCACCTGAGGCGGCCTGGACTCGTAGGGTCCACCCCAGCAACCCCGCCACCCCTTCCTGTTGGGTCCCTTCCTGTCCACTTGCAGGTCTCTGGGACGGAGCTCAGGGCAGGGCAGGCCTGGACCCTGCTACCTTGAGGACTGACTGCTGACCTGAGACCCCCCACATCTTACTGGAGTGGCCCTACCACCTCCGTGTGGTCTGTGCGGGTCTGTTCTGAGGGGTGCAAAGAGAGGCCGCAGCTCTGAGGGTGGTCTGAGGGTGACCAGGGCAACCACTGGCTGCTCGGAACCTTCCAGCAGGTGGCCACGAGCCTCATTGTGGAGGGGAGGGAAACTGCAGCTTCCTCTGGAGACAGGGGTCTGGAACTGGTCTCAGGAACGAGAGGGTGGCTCTAGGACAGCCACCTCTGGGCACGAGGACCCGTGGCTCGTCCTGCTTCCCGGCTGGGAGTGTAAGCCACGCCTTCATGTGGCTCTTCCTCCTGAGGCCAGCTTTGTCTTGGCCCAGGTGAGACTCGGAAGAAGGCAACCTAACACCCGCCCTCATCGCTCGGCCTGGGGTGGGTGGCAGCTTCTCCAGCGCAGGTGGCTTGAGGACAAGGCAGCAGAAGTGCCAGTTGTCCTTGGTCCCCAGGGACTGGGGTGGCCTCATCACTTTCTAAGGGAATAATGGTCCCTTCTCTGGGCGAGCTAGTCTGTCAGCCACCCACCTAGACACCTCCCACCCAGGGCAGGTGAACTCTGCTGCCCCCGTCCCCGTCCAACCTGGCTACAGGCCGCGGGCTGCTCTGGTGTGAGGGACAGGGCCCGAGAGCCTCACCCGCCCCCTGCTCTGCAGTAGTCCTGGCTGGGCAGGATCTCTGCCTCAGGCGTAAGAGCCCCCATCTGGCTTGGGGGGCCCCACATTGCCCACGGCTGAAGCCAGCAGCTCTCTGGGGGGCTCCGGCAGTGGCACTGGGGCTGTGAAGGGAGCTGTCCTGGGCCCTCCGCCTCTGCACAGTCTCCGGGAGGCGCTGTCCGTTCTCATGGCCCTCTTTAGCCATAGCCAAGCACAGAGCAGACCCGGCCTGCCCTGCCGAGCTTGTGAGGGGCACTCGGCAGACTTCCTGAAAGAAGAGGCAAAGCAAGGACCCGAGGATGTGGGTCTGTTCCCGGGAGGCTGTGACTGGCGGTGACAGGGCTGAGACCTGGCCTCCCAGCCCCATAGTAAGCACATGTGGGCCATTTCTGTGGACACCCCACCCCAGTCCTTCTCCCACTGTGTTCCAAGAACTGTCTCAGCGCACGGAAAAAGCAGAAAGGACCGGGCCACGGGCACCTCTGGGGACTTCTGCTATGCCACCAGGCAGCATCCCTGCACCTGGGTCTCCTCCCACGATGTGTCTGGTCCTGGGAAGTGGAGCCCACGGCACATGAACGGGGTGCCAGATGGCTCGCTCTTCCCAGATGTGGGGAAGGACGCTGGGAGTGAGGGGCCTGTGTCACCTCACCTCGGCTGGCCGGCCTCTTATCTTCTGCCACCAGTGTTACTTGGTGGGTGGCCATGGCTGCCTGGGCCAGAGGGAGGAGACCTGGCCATCCCTAGCCTCGCCCTTGGCCCTCAGGGAAGCGGGCTCTTCCTAGCCTCCACAGTGGGGGCTGCAGCAGAGGTCGACCTCAGCACAGTTTAGCAGGTGGTGCCAGGCTGGCTGCAGGTGCTGATCACCTGCCCCTCCCCAGTGGAGGCCACTAGGGCCCCCTGGGCAGGGGGCATGTCGGGTTCCATCACTGAGCAAACAGTTGGGGAGCCGGAGTGCCCCGGGAGCACTGCCCTCTGCTGGCCAGGCCAGGGGCCAAGCTAGTTCTTCAGGGGCTCCTGGTTGTGCAGCCGCAAAGTCAGTCTTTGCTTAAAGGGGGAAAGGGGGGTAGGGGGGACGGGCTCTGGGCTGCCCTGGCTGGTCAGGGAACATGCCTCCTCCTCCCTCCCCTTTGCTGTCACCCTCTCCTGCCCCTGCCCCCTTTTCCTCCTCCCCTGGCTGCGTGGGACCCTCCCTTTCCAGGCCCCCCATGGGCCAGATCCCCCCAGCGCCCCAGCCCTGGCCCTGGCGGAGTTGTCAGCCGCAGACTGTTTGGAATAGTTTAGATGCTTTGCCACTGGGCGCTGGGTGGCAGGGCGCAGTTCGCTGGGTAATTCATATGCAAAGCTGCGCTGTAAATCGCAGCCTGTCTCAGTTGCCGTGGCGCCGCGAAGCGTTCCTGTACAGTACGGTATTTCTGCCATCTTTGTTTGCATTACAGTGAGTCATCAAAGTCTGTCTTGCACCAACACCCAGAGCCGCGCATTCCTCTGGCACCAACACGCCACTGTTTTCAAAGCCGGGCTGCGAGCTGGCATTTACTTCGACTCCCAAATCAAAGGCGGCTATTCATTTCCAGAGCCGCCTGGATGTTCGTCTGCATCCGGCCGCTTCATTGAGATGCTGAGCGCTGCCCGGGAGAGCCGGCCTGGGTGCAGCTGAGCTGCGGCCGGGAGCCCAGCGCCCAGGCGCGCTGCCCTCCTCCCGCCGCC